AGGATATTTTACTAAGTAAATAAAACAAATATAAAATGTACGAATAATAAACTATCATTTATGTAAAAAGGATGGAGGAGATAGAAATTGGGATATATGGCCAGGTGCGGTGGCTCACACCTATAATCCCAGCATTCTGGGAGGCCAAAGTGGGCAGATCACAAGGTCAAGAGATTGAGACCATCTGGCCAACATGGTGAAACCTTTTCTCTACTAAAATTACAAAAATTAGCTGGGCATGGTGGCAGGCACCTGTAATCCCAGCTACTCAGGAGGATGAGGCAGGAGAAATCTTTTGAACCCGGAAGGTGGAAGTTGCAGTGAGCTGAGATCATGCCACTGCACTCCAGCCTGGTGACAGAGCGAGATTCTGTCTCAAAAAAAAAAAAAAAAAAAAAAAAAGAAAAGAAAAGAAATCAGGGTATAAGTGAATGCGTATGTACACAGAACATGCAAATATATAGATACATATATTTTCTTGCATTTGCCAATAGAAACACTGAAAAGGTAAGCCAAACTCTAATAAAATGGTTACCTATAGGCAAGGAAAGGAAATGGGAGCAACTAAACTGGAAGTAAATGTCTGAATAGATTTTGCTCTCACTTTGGAATTGTAAATATTTTACATATTCAAAATTTAAAATTAAATCAGAAGGGCATAGAAGTCAATAACAATAGTTCTTTCTGACAACTGGTCCTGCAACAACTGGATATCCACATGTAAAAGACCTAAATATAAGAGTTAAGACTACAAAACTCTTAGAAGGAAACTGGTGAAAATCTGCATAAACTTGGATTAAGCAATGGTTTCTTAAATATGATGTCAAAAGCACAAATAAAAAAGAAAACAGAGATAAGCTAGACTTCCTTAAAATTAAAAACTTTTGGCCTCCAAGGGCACTATCAAGAAGAAAGACAACCCACAGAAAGGCAGAAAATACTCACAAATCCTGTATCTGATAAAGATCTAGTATGCAGAAGAACTCATAATAACAATAAAAAGACAAACAGCCCAATTTTAAAATGTAAAAAGGATTTGAATATTTTAATAAATTTCTCCCAAGAAGATATATAAATGGCCAATAAGCAAATGAAAAGGTATTCAACATCATTAGTCTTTAAGAATATGCAAATCAACACCATACTCAATTAGTACTTCACACACACTAAAAAGGCAATAATTTTAAAAACAGATAATTAATAAAAGTTGGCAGGATGTGGAGAAACTGAAACCCTCATCTATTGCTAGTGGGAATGTAAAGTAATCCAGCCACTATGGAAAAGTCTGCCAGTTCCTCAAACAATTAAATATAATAGAGTTACTATATGATCCAAGGAGATAAATATCTAGGAGAATTTAAAATACATGTTCACACAAAAATTTGTGTATGGATATTTATAGCAGCATTATTGATAATGACCACAAAGTATAAATAACCCATTTGCCCATCAACTGATGATTTAATAAGAGAAAGCCTCACAAGTTTTGTTTTTCCTGCTTCATCTGAGGTCCTTGGACTTCCACAGATGTTATAAATGAGCCAGGAGTTAATCTCCCAAAATTATATGCAATATGTATATGCATTTTTGCTCTTCTCTCATAAGAGGGTTCCTAGCTTTCATAATACTCTCAAATGGGTCTAAAACTCACAAAAAATTAAACAATACTGGTATCATGCAAGCATTACTTTAATAGTTTTAAAAAACACAACTGGTTAAATTTAGCAGAATCCAGTACTCTGACATCTAAAACATGTATCATGACATAAAGTTTGATTCAAACCAGCTAATAAACTGTTTAATTTGCAGAAGCATAAACAAATATTTTTAAAACTACTCTAATTCATCATCCATTGCTTACTTGAATGGCTAATGTTTCTTGCTGCTGACGGGCTTCTTCTTGGGCCTTCTCTAATGCTGCAGAAAGTTCTTCTTTAGCTTTCATTTCACGGCTCAGAGCAGCTTCCTGTGCCTCACTATCCTTTGCAGCATTGGCTTTGTGAAGATCAGTAAGTTCTCTTAAAAAATTAGATTGAGTTTATAAATGTTGCCAGTGATCAGATAATAAAAAAAGTATTTCTTCAACATCCTACTCTGATAATTCATTCTAAATGGGTTGCATATTTGCTCATTTTCTTACTTGTATGCACTATCCAGGGCAGCCTGAATACTTCGGTTCTTTTCTTCCAGTTCATCCATGTCTACTTGAAGTCGACCAAGATCTTTCTCCTGGCGTTCTACCACAGAATTTAGTTTTTTAATATTTTCTCTATGTTGTTTCTCAACCTCTTCTTTGCCATCGAGGACCTAAATGTTATAAAAACAGACAAAAGTATTTTTCAAGAAATAACACCATGGTAAATAATTGTATTCCAGGAATCTATAATAATGGAGAAAAATCTTTTTTTTTTTTTTTTTTTTTTTTTTCCAGACAGTCTCACTCTGTTGCCCAGGGTGGAGTGTTCTGGCTCACTGCAACCTCTGCCTCCCAGGTTCAGGCAATTTTTGTGCCTCAGCCTTCCAAGTAGCTGGGACTACAGGTGTGCACCACCATGCCAAGCTAATTTTTGTATTAGGTTGGTTCAATATTTTTAGTAGAGATAGGGTTTCACCTTGTTGGCCAGGCTGGTCTCAAACTCCTGGCCTCAAGTTATCTGCCTGTCTCAGCCTCCCAAAGTGTTGGCATTACAGGCATGCGTCACCCCACCCAGCTGAAAAATCTTAACATTTATTTATTGGTTGAAAAATTCTTCCTACATATTACTACTCCATTAAATCTTTTCAAATGCTCCATAAACCATGGCCAACTGTTTGACAGGAAGTAAGAAGAATAGATATGTTGAGAATTATGACTGCTATTCACCTGTTTCAAATGCTGCAACTCCTCTTCTAGCTCTTTAACTTTTTTGTTTAGCTTTGCAATCATATTTTCATTTTCCTTGTCTTTAGCTCTTAATTTCTTGATGATGTTAGAATTATGCAGCTGCTGTTTTGAAAGTTTTTCCCCTGGTGATGGTAGAAAAGTATAAACTCAGAAGATAACTATTCCCTAAAAATCTCAATAGAATGTTTTATCTAACCAGTAACATAAAATAATAGCATTTTTTAAAAATCACAATTTTGTAACCCACAATATCATAACTAATTTGGACAAGAATCATCAGTGAATGTTTAAAATTATTGGGTAAAAGGATGTTGGGAAACTGAATACTGACACAGTCTTAAAGAATCACTTTCACATATCACCTACTAACTATAAAGAGAAAAATCTGGCAGTCAACTCCTTAACGAAACATTCAGTTTTGGCATCACCAATTGTAGTACAGCCTGACAGTATGTGCCTGCTGATGTGATGTAGTAATGTAGGTGTACAATGTCACCTAGATATTTCCTACTAGAAATATGATATAAATCTAATCATGAAGAAATAACAAATTCCTGAACATGGGACATCCTGTGGGACAACTGCCCTGGACTCCACATAATCCTCAATGATATTCTGAAGAAGAGAGACCTGTCCTAGATCGATGGAAGACTAAAAGGACCTAACAACCAAATGCAATCAGCAAACTTTGGATCTTGGGGCAGCACAAATGATCAAATATAAGAGACATTTTTAAGACAACTAAGATAAATATTAAAATACATGCTGGATTACACTTCTGAATTAATGCTGATTTCTTAGGTTTGACTATGGTGTACCTGTCAAGGAAAATGTAATTCCCCTTGGGAGATGTAGACTGAAGAATTTAGGAGCAGAATGTTATAGTATTTTTAACCTCCTTTCAAATGGGTTGACAAAAAGGTAGCGTATGTGTGTGCAGAAAGACATGGAAGAGGTGTGGTAAGATGTTAACACTTGATGAATCTAGGTGATGAAGTGATCAGGTACTCACTGCAGTGTGCTTTCAAGCTTTGAGTTTTACAGCTCTTCAGCTTTAAGTTTTAAAAATATTTCTGGGGCATGTGGAAACAATATGTAATACACCTGTGTGAAATGTAAATACTCTGTGAATACAAAATACTCCCATGTGAAATTGCTCTATTTTCTCTGTTAAAAGGTTCATTAAACAAAAGACATCAGTCCATCCTCTGACAAAATTACTAAATTACAAAATAGTAACATTTGAAATTAATATTTTAAATGACTTTTTAAAAATAAAACCATGCAGTTAGCCTTCCCTTCAGTTTCTAATATTGTAAGACAAGGTAGTTAACAACTTCAAGACACCTTGAGAAAATAATTATAACAACTCTTCCTTCATTTTTCTATTTTAGTGCTTAGAATTGTGTGGGGTTTTTGTTGTTGTTGAGACGGAGTCTCACTTTGTCACCAGGCTGGAGTGCAGTGGCGCAATCTTGGTTCACTACAACCTCTGCCTCCCGAGTTCAAGCGATTCTCCTGCATTAGCCTCTGGAGTAGCTGGGACTACAGGCAAGTGCCACCATGCCCAGCTAATTGTATTTTTAGTAGTGAGAAGGTTTCATCATATTGGCCAGGATGGTCTCAATCTCTTGACCTCATGATTGACCTGCCTCGGCCTCCCAAAGTGCTGAGATTACAGGTGTGAGTCACCATGCCCAGCCAGAACTGTGTTTTCTAATTATCTGTATTCCTGTATTTCCCTCTCACTAAACTAAGCTCCTAAAGAATAGAGGGTGTCATATTTATTGTATCAAATATAATATCTGACATACTAACTGTTCAATAAATATTAGATGAATAAATGAAAAACAAAAAGTTAGGTAAAGCTAACTTTTTCAAATGAAATGACTGCTTCCAACTGTTCTCAAACTCTACAGTTTCTATGGAAATTTACTTAAGTTCAATGATTTAGGACAAAAATATTCATCTTACCACTAACTATAATATTCACATTACAGAAATAAATGTACAACATTAGAAACAGTAAAACATATGATATACCCATATAATGGATATTATAGTTATTAATAATGATAAAAAATATTTAATGGGGCTTCACTGCCCCGCATCTAGCTAGCCCAGCGTCCGCCGCGCCTTGGCCAAGGCTTCAACAGACCACACCAAAATGCCATCTCAAATGGAACATGCCATGGAAACCATGATGTTTACATTTCACAGATTTGCTGGGGATAAAGGCTACTTAACAAAGGAGGATCTCAGAGTACTCATGGAAAAAGAGTTCCCTGGATTTTTGGAAAATCAAAAAGACCCTCTGGCCATGGACAAAATAATGAAGGATCTGGACCAGTGCAGAGACAGCAAAGTGGGCTTCCAGAGCTTCTTTTCCCTAATTGCGGGCCTCACCATTGCATGCAATGACTATTTTGTAGTACACATGAAGCAGAAGGGAAAGAAGTAGGCAGAAATGAGCAATTCCCCCGGCCCTGATAAGAGTTGTCCCAAAGGGTCACTTAAGGAATCTGCCCCACAGCTTCTCCCATATAAGGATTTCATGAGCAGATCAGGACCCTTAGCAAGTGTACAAATAAAATCTAACTCCCATTTGATGAGCAGAGAAAGAAAAGCTAAATGCCAGACAAGCTTTTGATTTTTGTATTGTTTGCATTCCCTTGCCCTCAATAAATAAGTTCTTTTTTAGTTCTGAAAAAACAAAAACATTTAGTGGTATAGAGAGATATAAGAGAAGGAACACTGCAAATTAAATACATGATCCTATGTTTAAAAATAATTTTAAAATGCTTTAAGTCTAGAAAAAATTAATAGTTCCTTACAATATTGGATTATAATCTACTTTTCCTCTTTATTTATATACTTTCCTATAACTTCAAAACTTTCTACAAGTAGCAAGTATTACTCTTATAACTAGAAAAATTTCAACTAATGAGAAAGAAAAAGAGAAATTCACTTGACTATCTTTTCTAAAACCTCCTCTCTCCCAGGATATTACATGAAGAAATTAATTCAGTGTCCATATATAATGATTTATTTCATGAATAGATCTTTAACTTCTATAATGCTGTTAATTTTATTTTTTATTTTATTTTTTGAGACAAGGTCTCATTCTGTCACCCAAGCTGGAATGCAGTGGCATGATCTTAGCTCACCGCAACCTCTACTTCCCAGGCTCAAGCCATCCTCCTGCCTTAGCCTCCTGAGTAACTGGGATTACAGGCACACACTGCCATCACCCAGTTAATTTTTGTATTTTTAGTAGTGATGGGTTTTCACTATGTTGGTCAAGCTGGTCTCGAACTCCTGACCTCAAATGATCCACCCGCCTCGGCCTCCCAAAGTGCTGGGATAACAGTCATGAGACACCACACCCAGCCAACGATGTTAATTTTAAATCTTCTCAGAGACAAAAATGCTTAATAATTTAAAAATTAAGAATACAATGAAAAATTCACTATCAAATGCCAGAACAATACAGTATCATATAGAACCCAAACTAGGTATTCAGATATTACCTAAATCCCAGAATTATACACTTTGATTATCTTGGTTTAAATGACAGGCTCTTAAGACCTGTTGACAGTTTTTAGGACAGCACAAATTTCTGTCTATTTTACTAGGGTCTTACTTTTTTTTTTTTTTACTCCCTAAAAAGCTATAAACACATATCTCCATCTCAATATATCTTATTCCTCATTATTCCACAAACTGTCACCTACTATTTCTATAGTTTAAGTCCAAACCATCCTTGCTTTCAGTATTTTTAATTAGGAAGCATCAGCTAGTTATATAGCAAATACTTTTCCTGTTCTTACAATATTTTCTATAGTCAACTAAATACGTACCTTCTTCCATTAACCCTCGGATCTGCTCATCTTTCTCTTTCAAAAGGTCTGCAGTTTCACTACTATTTAATCTAGTGGCAAGTTCTTCTTTTATGTTTTTGATTTCCTAATAAAAAAGAAATCTGTGAATACCATAAAGAATTACTTTCACTCTAAGAATAGTTCTCATTTTTTTCCCCCATCCAAAGAAGCTATCCATAATCACATTCTCAATAAGAATCTGGAAGTTTTGTTCAATTAATCTACTACCTTGGTTAACTAAGACTGAGAAAACAGCTTTGAAAATGATATACAAAACCTAAATCAGATATACAAGCAAGTTTTAATATGAAAACGTAAATGACCATAAATTAACTTTCCTTTTTTTTTTTTTTTGAGACAGGGTCTTACTCTGTTACCTGGGCTGGAGTAGACTGGTACAACCATGACTCACTGCAGCCTCAACCTCCTGGGCTCAGGTGACCACAGGCACATGGCACCATGGTTAGCTAATATTTGTATTTTTTGTAGAGATGAGGTCTCACCATGTTGCCTAGACTTGTCTTGAACTCCTGGGCTCAAGCAATCTGCCCTCCTCAGCCTCCTGAGTAGCTGACTACAGGTACACACCAGCATAACCAGCTAACTTTCTGCATTTTTTAGTAGAGATGGGTTCTCACCATGTTACCCAGGCTACTCTCTACCTCCTGGGTTCAAGTGACCCATCCAATTCATCCTCCCAATGTGCTGCAATTACAGGCATGAACTATCACACCTAGCCAAAACTCTATGATTTAAATGTTAATATACGATATCCTTTTTACCTTGCTTCTCTTTGTTCCCACTATCAAAACATGATGAATGTACTCCTGAAAAATCTGTCTTATAGAGTTTAATTAATATTATTTAAATTTCAATTACCTTTTTAGCAGCATCTCTCTCTTTACAGGCTAGCTGAACTTTCTTTTCTGCTTCTGCAATTCTTTGAGTAAACTCATCTTTTAAGGAAGAAATGCTACTGCTTTCTTCTTTCACTCTGAACATTTCACTAAATTTAAAACAATATTTGAGAATGAGGATGGTGTTTATATATCACAAAGGTACACTTGAGTTCAGTTCTCAAAAGGAAGATAACTTTTCTCTGACATATACCTTAATAAAATAGAATAGTATTGGGCCTATTAACTTTTAAGAAAAAAATAAGGACATTTCCCTTGTTAAGTTTGTTTTTAAATACTTCAAAGAAAACCTGTTAGAAAGTGAAAATGTCACCAATATCTGACATGCAAAAATAACAGAAAGTAAATACAATGTTTCAGTTCTGAATCTTTCTGTGTCACATTTTCCCAACCAGCTCCTGATAGCAAACCAATACCCAGTATTTTCTTAAACTACAATAACACAGTTTTCTTTAAATACATGTTTTAAATCTGTAATACTAAAAGACTAAAAATGAAAGGAAAGAGCTTTGCAGTTTTTGCAAAATAACGCTCTTCAATGCCAAAGGTAATATGGTAAAGACAAAGCAGAAAAGTAATCTTTACGTTTATAACTGAAATGCTATACAACTTTCAATAATGATAAAATTACAAAACATTTTAATTTCAAAAACATTCTTAAATATGTATGAAGTATACAGTTCTCCAGAAAATGTGTAACATTATTCACATTTGTAGAATACTTACTCTTTCAGGTTATCATAAGCTTCTTCTAGAAGTGCTTTTTCCTTACTAAGAGATAGTAACTGAGCCTCCCTTTTTTCCAGTTTTTCATTCAGCAATTCAACTGTCTGGATAAGGAGAAAACCAAAAAAGTCAGGACACTTAGCTTTATAAAAGACCATTTCTACATGCAGGTATATAACTATAATAAAGAAAACAGCTTTATCTCATAAAAACTATTAAGAGCAATATTAGGAACACAGAGGATGCAGAACGAGCAGTACTCTTAGGCAGGGGATAGGAGAGTAAAAGTAAGTACAACCAAAGAGCTAGTGGGAGTGCAAGCTGAGAAACCACTTGGGAAAACAATTAGGTAATATCTACTTGGAGACCTATATACTCTTTGATATAGAAAATTTCACTTTTAGGTATACTTTAGAGGCGAAAATTCTTGCATAAATGCACTAGGTGACAGGGATAAGAATACTTATTGCAGCTTCCTGGTAACAGCAAAAATCTGGAATAGTCTGCGTATACACCAAAAGGAGAAGGGAGATGGATGCAATCAGAAGAGGTCAAAGAGAGGATTTAAAGACCATATCTTAGCTAGGTAGTGGATATACAAGTGTCTGCTTTCTTTATGATTCTTCACCTGAAACATGTACCCTTTTCTTAGTATGATATATTGCATTTAAAAAACAGAAGTCCGTGTGCAGTGGTTCATGCCTGTAATCCCAGCACTTTGAGGCTGAGGTGGGTGGATAACCTGAGGTCAGGAGTTTGAGACCAGCCTGGCCAACATGGCAAAACTCTGTCTTTACTAAAAATAAAAAAATTAGCCAGGCATAGTGGTGGGCACCTATAATCACAGCTACTCAGGAGGTTGAGGCTGGAGAATCGCTTCAACCGAGGAGGTGGAGGTTGCAGTGAGCCAAGCTCGTGCCATTGCACTACAGCCTAGGTGACAAGAGTCAAACTCTATCTAAAAATAAAATATAATCAAATAAATAAATAAAGTAGAGGCCAGGCATGGTGGCTTACACCTGTAATTCCAGCACTTTGGGAGGCCAAGGAGGGCAGATCACTTGAGGTCAGGAGTTTGAGTCCAGCCTGACCAACATGGTAAAACTCATCTCTCTCTACGGAGAATACAAAAATTAGCTGCTCATGGTGGCATGTGCCTGTGGTCCCAACTACTTGGGAGGCTGAGGCAGAAGAATTACTTGAACTTGGGAGGAAGAGGTTGCAGTGGGCAGTACTCCAGCCTGGGAAACAGGGCAAGACTCTGTCTCAAAAAATAAATAAAATAAAAGTAGGGCTGGGCACAGGTTCATGCTTATAATCCCAGCACTTTGGGAAGCCAAGATGGGAGGACTGTTTGAGCCCAGGAGTTCAAGACCAGCACAGCAACATAGTGAGACCTCATCTCTACTAAAAATTAAAAAAAATAAAAATAAAAAATAGCCAGGCATGGTACAAGCCTGTGGTCTCAGCTACTAGAGAGGATAAGGGGGAAGGACTGCTTTAGGCCCAGAGGTTGAGGCTGCTGTGAGCCATGATCACACCACTGCATGGGCAACAGCCTGGGCAACAGAGACCCTGTAAGCCATGATCGCACCACAGCACGCTAGCCTAGGAAAGAGAGAGAGATCCTGTCTCCTTCATACATACATATATCCATACTAAAAGTAATTTTAGAAAAACCGTAAGAATTTTTAAATCTCCATAATGTATCAGTATAAAACTAAATAAAAAGTAATGCTTAGAATGTCTCGTTCCTTAGTTCCCCCTCAAGCGATGATACAGTATAAAAAGGGTAGGAAGGGGTCCTTTTTGGACTCAAAAAAATGAAGTCTTACCTGAGTTTGTTTTAGATGAACTTAGAGATCACTTACCTTCTTAAATACACTGAAATTCAAAAACATCTGATAGTAATTAGTGCTGGTTTCTAAAAAATTCAAACTCCTATTACATATCTTATAGTATATAGCTATTACTAATTGAACTATTATTGTGCAGCATTTTTTTGTGAATATTTAACCTAAGTAACAGAATCTGG